ATGTTTTTAAAACAGGTTTGTTACGATTGCGATTATTTTCGAAATCTTGTGCTCAAAGGCGGGGGGGGGGGTAGGAAGTGTCCACCTATTCACTAATTAAATGCTTATGCCTGTACAATGACAAACGGCGGTATACGATCCTTTACGTTAGTCGTAAACACGTCGTATTTCGGCGAATACCGTCGTAATTTACATCATATACGATCGTTTACAACTGTCGTAATGCTCGCACTGGGTGCGACTATGACTGGAGCTTGGTCACAGATATTAAAATACGTGAGGACATCCAGGGGTTTAACACTTAGAGGGATTTTCGCCAGGCTACCCGTCGTCCCATCCCCCTCCCCCGTCCCGCTTCCGCCGTTATCACTTTTAACAAAAACAGAAACTTTTTTTATGTTGAGGAACCAGAAATAAGGACCGTGACTCACGCTCACCGGCTGGACTCATCGTGATCGTGACTAAAAGAAGTAGGCCACACTGGACACTACTCATGTCATATATTCAATATTTAGTATATGTAATGTCTGGCTAAAGAAAGGAGATATATAATTTGTCTTTTTTGGCGAGATAAATTATGTCTATCTTCATCAAGTTGTGAAATCAGATATATTATCTTTTTTACCTTATCTATTCGTAAAGGTGAAGTGTTGGCAGGATTCGTCTTTGCTAATGGATTACTGATCTGTGGCTATATGAAGTTTGATCAATATGTTGCTCTCTTTTTGAAATCTTCATCTCCTATATTTGATATGTTAGATTGTACGAGATGCATCATATTGATAAATGATGATTCTGAATTAGTGACAATAGATGCAAAAAGGTGTAAAGCAAAAATAAATCACACACTAATCATATCCTCCACAAGGGATTCAAGGTTGTTCATTTCTGTTTATACTTTGTATTTGATCAATTCAATGATATAAAGAAATATAATGGAGAACATGAAGCAGACGTGAGTAGGAGGTGTGCATTTCAAATTCGTCAAACGATTTTTCTAAATCTTGTTTTTTTTATGTAAAATTTGTCGCTAAATTCTTGATCGTTTTCTTCAACTGTAATTGATAGGATAAGATAACTGCTTGTGTCAGGCTTGTAATTGGTAGAATGAATTGGAGTTAGTCTCAAATATTCAATGGAAGACTGATGAAAGCCATAGATCTATATCTTGTTCCTCTCAAAAGTTATTAAAAAAACTGTAAGGTCTCTTTTATTTTGGAACGGATAGTTGTATGGTATTAATCTAGTCAATAAATCTCAAAAATGTGTTTGAAGTGTATTATCCACATATTCGATTGATTATATATCAAATGGATGTAAATAATTCTGATGTCTTGATGTTTCCATATTGAAACTATAAGTATAGTAAAATTCGAATATCTCCATTCAGCCACATCAATTGTACCCTATATTTTAAATGTGCTAGTTTAGCAGTGAGAGTTTTCATTTGATTCGAATATGTCTAGTCTTATTAACTTACAGCACAAACTCTTCTATTGTTAGTGTTATTTGAGGTCATATCATATAGAATTTAACATTTTATTTGAAATATGTAAGTCCAATAATCTATTTCTGTTCTAATGGATGTGTCTGTATTTTATAGAAGAACAATAAGTTATACAATTATTTCAGAATTGTTTGAACCATCACTAGGATATTTAGACACAATATGAACCGATAGCTTCATGATACATTAATTTTTATATTAGTCGTGGAAAATTACATAGAGAGTAGTAAATTATATTAGAGAAAAAGAACCCAACAACAATCTGGTAGTTTTCAAAGTTTAACTTGCACCCGACTCGACAAAATTACACCAGCAACTCATCGATGGGTCAGGTCGAGATGCAGGACCTTATCAGCGGTTTCTACAACATGAATAAGATCAATAACTAAGAAAGAAAAAGAAATATCGATAGGTTTTCCAGAGAAGAATTTTTTTTTCTTAATCACAAGTCAATTAATTTTATTTCATATATTTATTNATATACTTAAAATAAAAAAATATGCCGAGCCTACATGAACCTTCTTTAATGTCTCGTTATCTCGCCATTAAAGACTTATTCATGTCGATCTCTCTATGAGAAGACTGTTATGATATAGTGGCGAGTTGGGCATATATATATTTACTGCCAAAATACAAAGTGACAAAAACAAAACAATTAAATACAATAAAATACAATAAAGTTAAAGATATTCTTTATAGTCATTTTTGGGCACTTAAAAACGCCACAAGAAGCTCTATCGCAAGATAAGAGCTTCGCGCCCAAAGAAAATATGTACAAAAAGCAATAAACAGACCAAAGATAGAACTAAGAATTGAAAAGTTTAACTTGAATAAATGTTGAAGTTTTAACAAATTAAGTTAACCTTCGTTTTTCTTGTGGTTAGATCGTAAAAATTGAATAAAAAGTTATTTGTACACATTCAAAATAACTTGATATTTTGAATTTAGAATTTTCTTAATGTGATCTTTCATTTTCGCTAAATAAATAGAAAAAAAAATATTTAGTGAGATCTGGCCTAATTAATGGTCTGGCGAACCCTCTCTTAAACATTATATGTTATGTCTTATAGGAGTAAAATAAAAATATGCAAAACTTTTGAAGGAAGCCATCGGAACCCATATTCTTTTAGGGCTTTTATTAAGACACTATGTAGTATCTATGGACAAAGTTTCATTGAAATTGGCGGAGGGCACCTGAAAAGGTGGTTCCCTCGTTAGTTAAAATATCATTAAACGAAATCGGTACTGAAGTTCGTCCACCTTTTGCTAAGACTAGTAGATGTTTATTCCAGATTACAATACGACGAAGACACAGCGGACTTCAAGATTTCAACAACAAGATGCGGGTGTGGAATGTAAGTGTAGGTGTGAAAGAGGCAAGGAACAAACAAATGATTTAAATCATTCTCAAGTCAGTCGAAGATCATAAAAAAATCACTGAGTTTGAGTGATTGCCTCTGTTTTTTAATGATTTCCATTCATTTCCGACGACTGTTCATATGGTCAAACTCATCCTAACTCACCTAAACTTACGCAACTCACTGAACCTTACAAACAGAGCTGCCAGATCTTCCGAAATGGCAGAAAAATTTCGGAATTTTAAGTTTTTTTCTGAAGCTTTCCGAAATGTAACATTTTTCTAGATTTGAGCTTTTATAAGTTTTATTATAAGTTCTAATTTAATTTTTACCGAATCACTAAAAGTGCACACTCTCATGAATCTAAAGCCTTTTGCGAACGGAACGACATATCTTGTATCGTGAAAAAATCCATTTGAATAACCTATTTCTTCAATGTGAACTAAATTTTAAGTTTCACAAGGTGCGCTTTTCCGCATGATAACTCTGACATGTTAAACTGAATTAGATTCAGTCAATGATGATGAATTACAGGGTTCAAATGTTAATATAAATGAAATTAAAGAAGAAAAAAACTCTTTTAGTAACAGCTTTCACACAAAATGATGATAGAAGAAGAGATTTAAAAAGCGGCGATATGTGTATTTAAACATTAAAAAAAATGTCTTCTGCATTTATTTCCGAAATAGAATAAAAAAAATTCCGGTTTTTCCGATTTCTTTATTGTAAAATTTCGATTGACAACTTTTCAATCTGACAATCCTGTTTATAAATCACTGTTTTTCTCTTGAAAAGAGTGGAATTGATGTCGATGTGGGTATTGGTGTCAGCAGTAGACATAACCACTCGACTAACAATATCAAAAAGCCTTGAGTTGCTAACTATAATGTTTTTAAAGTTAAAGCCAACTCTGACTTTATCAGCAGATTGACAAAAGATTTAAAGTTTACATTTCTGCTAAAATCAGATCATCAGAAACAAAGTTGTTTTATTGGTCTTCTTATGAATTTTCTATGCACTAAATGTAAATAAAAATTTCAGAAGACTCCTCAACAGAAGTCTTATTTGTTTCCCCTTCGTTAAAATACAAATACAATAATAAAAAAAGATTAAAATGACAGATTATTGCATATGAACAAAATCACATCACACGTACGAGTACAAGTATTATTGATAAACAAAACAAAACAAAATATAAATATGATTGAAAAACAAATGATAACAAGAACGAAATAAGGACGCTTTCATATCATCAACTGATAAGTCAATAACAAAAGTTAAAATAGCATAGAAAAGTAGATAAAGAAACGCATCTAACAAAAAATCAACCATCAACTATGCAATATGTGATGAGCAAAAATATGTAGACAAGAAATCAATGAAAGTACACGGCGATATAGAATATGACATTGTTTTTAGATAATGTAAAATTTCATGAATTTTGTAGGACTTTTTATTTCTTTGAAACCTTGTCTAGCTAGTTTTTAGTAATAAAGTGTTTCTATAAAAGTGAATTTTGCTATGTATAACCTTTTCAAAATCTGTTTCTGTATACTTCAACAAAAGCATTTCTTTTTGTAGATTCTACGACATTTCTTAGAATCTCTTCAATTACTAGATCTATCAATATTTGTTAACCCGATAAAGAATTTATGTCTAACATTATATAGCGTCGTCTAGTTTGGTTGTCGATCTGTTTAAAAATTGCTTCTGCTCGCTATTCAACTTGATAATAGGTCGGTCGTGAAAATATAGTTCTTTTCCAGTATTTTTGTTTATAGTAGTTTCTTTTCTCATTTATTTCGTTCTTCATATTGGGATGAGTATTACCTATCAAAATACTTGCATGATATTTTCTCTCTCATTTTCTTGATTCGTATACCATAAACCAATTTCAATAGTTTCTTTATATCAACATCCCTCAACTTCAATTGTATGCATAAAGCTCGTAGATTATCTGGTTTCGTTTTCCAAGGAGGACTTTGCAGAATTTTATTTGCTTTACTATTATAATTTCGACATACAACAAACTGAATTTGGAAGGAAATGTTGTGATCTTTCAGAATTTCTGAAGCCTGTTTAAATATAATGCCTACTGTATTTTCACACTTATGCAACAAGTAGTACATATGGTATCATAGTTTTTTTGTAATTCTAAGCGCATCAGAAATTCGAGTAAGAATTCCTTTACTCTTTCTAGCATCTTCAATATCAAATTTTTCTATATAAAGTTTTTCAAGATCACGATTAAGCAGAACCATGTTGTAAGATCCATGATCACCTTGTCTCGTTGTTCTGTCTTTTATTTTTATTTCTCGTGATATTTCTTCTGAAAGGAATGTTTGAATAACATGAGTACCACCATTTGTGGCAACAATTTGATCGTGACATATAAAATCTGTTTCTCTACCAAAAGTTCTAATAAATAATGTTACTTGACCTGATGCAGTTGCTCGTTTCATTAGAATTTCTTTTTTTCCTTCTAATGGCGCTTGTTCTGTTTAGATAAACAGTTAATTCTTGTAGTGAATCTAATATGATGTTGAATTATAGAATTCTTTTAATTTTTGATTTGATTCAGAAAAATACTAATACAAAATGTTTTTCTGATTGATCTTCCAACTAACCTATCCTCAATATCTCGTTTTATTATATTAAAATAATCATTCTCATTTTCAATCATAATATCATCTCTGATTGTAAATTTAAGATTGTTTATGCCATATATAGATTCCATTTATGTATTTTTTGTAAGTTTATATACATTTTGTATTACTTCTCTTTCAAGATCACCTAAAGTTTTTATGGATGAAAGTATGAAACATTTCTATCCTTTTTCTCCTTGGGTACACTATGAATTTTGAGTATGAACTTAATTCGGTTTGAAAATAATATACTTTCCTTATTATAATATAATCAGTAGATACTTTAACTTCTCTTCTATCCATTTACTCAAGGTCGAGATCGATATCTGTTTGAATTGAAAAGAGATAAAGATTTTACTGAAAGCTATTCTCCGAATTTTTTCAAAATCCCAGTAGCTAACTAATTTTTCCTTCTGTGAGGTTCTAGTCGCCTTCGACTTCGTAACGTAATTAATTAACCCTCGAAGATTCATTTCCTACTAAAACCGTTATCAAAAATCATACCATGAATTTATTTTGATGATAATGATTGAATATCGTCAAGAAGTTCTCGACAACCATTACTTTTTTGGGGTTTTAATCGAAAAAATTATTAACCTCAAATTGGTCAACCGAAAAGAATTTCAACATGTTTACATATATAAAAAGTATTAGTCATCAGTATCATCTTTATTGTAAGTGCTAGACTCATCATCGTCACAATCATTTAGTTCTTCTTTGATCTCTTCAACATAAATATCGGCCTTTCTAAAACCAATTTGCTTACTTCACTTAAGTAAAATTTGTGTTTCTATTACGCATTTATGTTTTCATATTGACTCGAGCTAACTCTTGAGGATTCACGGTACAATGTCTCATTGGTAAAAGGATGTGGGTATGATGATAGCTGAAGAAAAAAACCAACATCCACACCCCACTCACACGCCAATATCCAATGTATGATTTTTGATAACGTCTTTAATAGAAAAAGAATTATCGAAGTTTAATTAATCATGTCATCAAGTCAAAAACGACCAGTTCCTTACAGAAAAAAAAAATATTAGTTAGCTACTCAAATTTTGAACAAAATTCAGTGAGTAGCTTTCAGTAAAATCTTTATCTCTTTTCAATGCAAATAGTTATCGATCTCGACCTTGCGTAGATCGATGGAGAAGTTAGGGTATCTACTCATTAAAGTATAATTAGGAAAGTATATTATTTTCAAAGCGAATTAAGCTCATGATATTCAAGGAGAAAAAAAGACTGAAATTTTTCATCAACTTTGTCAAAAGATAGAGGCAATATTGACTCTAGATAGTATGAAAAATTCTAGTTACTTCTCTGTTTCTATGTTAGAGTTACTTAAAACGTATCCACATCCAATTAATGCTAAAATGGACATTACGTAATTTATGACGAAAGTTTCTGATCTTTTGATTTGCTGCTATACTGAAAAAACAATATTTAATGTGTCGGTGAATATGAGTGATGTAAAAGACGTAATTTTACTAATAGTTATATCTCAGGATAGAAACAACGAAAAGATCTGAAATTTATTTTCAAAATAAGCCATTCTCGTTAAAGCTCATCTGTCTGCAAAGTTTCAAGTCGAAATTTGAAAGTCAGTTTTTCTGACGTTTCTGGAGAAGATCACGGTATCAAGTTAAAAATTATCATATTGCACAGTATCCTCGCAACAATAAGCAAAGAACTCGAACTTCTTTCCGAGTATTCAAAAGTCATTAAGATCTGCATAATGCACATAGTTTCGACTCAAAAATAATTACTTTGTTGGTGAACTTTCCTCATAAATGAAATCTTTTATTGATTATAAATAGAACTTTTCTATCAAATGATTTGATCAATAATAGAATATTCTGATTGTAATACTTTTGTGTTGGTAAAATGATGTACACTTGATGAAAGTAAAAGTAATTTATATTAAATAATGAAAAATAATAAAAATACATGAAAAATTCAACGATATTTTTCTTTATAGAAGCATTTGAACACATTCAATTACTCTTCATTCGAGAATATAAATGTAAATTATACTTATTATCCTTATTTTATTATTTTTATCTCATTTAAATTGATAGATAAAGTTACTAATGAAAAAGAAGAAAAAGATAGAGAACATCTTGAATTACTTCAAAATATTTGTTATTTTGTACCGTCAACAGAAAAATTCATTCAATAAAATTATAAACTTATTTAGGTGTATATTTTGATTTCTCATGTTTTTCTTTTAAATTTCTCTTATATTAACTATTTTATTATGGATTTTGTTTAAAGAAATTTAAAATGATATGTAATCAAAGTGTGCTTAAATTCTATGTATTTGTCAATAAGTACTTATAGGCACATCTATAGTACTTGCAGATGCCATTTAAGGAACAGAATATTTGTCATGCAAAAGATCCATTTCAAGTTCATATATAAAATAGTAATATCTTGAAGGAGTTCTGTATAGTTTAAAAAATATAAAAATCTATCTATTTAAATAATTTGGTAAAAGATTCAAATATTTTTATGTTTTATTTAATTTAAATAGTTTACAATCGAATATAAATTTCTGTAAGAACTACTTTGTTAGAATCGTTATCGATTGAAATACAGTAACTATATTAGGGGAACACTCGGTTTTTTTGTCGGTGCAATACAGTCTGGATAGTGAATAGAAATAACAATCTTATATTGTGTGCATTGCTTAGAATTTTAATTCTATATGAAAAAAAATATTTAAAAAAAAAATAAAACGAAATTATGATGGTAACACTCGTCGTTTTGTACGTTTTGGTTCTGATCGACAAATTTCATTAGAAAACGTTGCTGTTCGGACTTCATTTAACCAACGATTGATATAATCATATTTATTTTCATCGACATGTTTCATTTGTTGTTGAGAAGTTTTATTATTAATTGAAATGATTAATCTATCAGATAAATTGATATTTATTTCTTGTTGATGAACAATAGGAGGAACTGTACTTGCACGATTAGTTGTTATTTGAGTATTATTTGATAATAGTTTTGATGATTGTTCATTTGAAATTTTTATTGGAGGACATTTTGGTTGTTCTTTTCGATGATTTAAAAGAGGATTGATTAAAATAGGATTGATTCGTTGTTGAGAATGATCAGGTTTATGATCGCCACTTGTAATGCTGGATGTTGCAGCATGTATTGAAGATTTTGATTGATTTGATAATGATTGAGTATCAACTGAAGGTGAAGATTGACGTCTTGACGAATGACTTATTATAGGACGACTAATTGGAACAAATAGAGATGATTGATGAGCATTAGTAGGAAATCGAATAAATGTTGCACTATTATCTGTTGCTACTTGTATTAGACGTCTTTGTCTAATAAATGGTGATAATGATGATGATGCTGATGAAGAACAAGACGATGTGAAAACAACTGATGGTTGCTTTAATGAGGGCAAATCATCATCAATAGCCATGAAAAATAAGAGCAAACAGACGATAAAAATAAGTATTTCTACGTTTCAAAATGTCAGTTTTTGCCTGAAGTTAGAGAAGAAAAATAATGAATAATTCAAAAAAAAAAATTGATTCACATATATATATATACGTATATATAAATATAAAACACGTCACGCACTTGAATCTTTTTTTTTATTTTGTATTTTGTATTGACACTAGCAACAATCTCATTCTCTTGCATTCTTGTAGACATCAACCTCACACTTGTTTTTCAAGTCAGTTTTGTTTCAATGTCAATATTTTGGTTACAACATATTCAAAAAAGAGAAGCAAAAAAAAACAGATTTCTCTCTTTTCTTTCTTTGTTTTGTTCTTCTAAGGTTTCTTTTGTATTTTATTTTGTGCATATATTTTTATTTTACATATACTTAATCAAGAATGTTTTTTTCTTTTTCTTTATTTTTTCGACAAGCGATCTTAAATAACTCTATGTCTATGTCTCAAATATAATAAAAAGATTGCATGTAAATGTCTAAAGATCGATCGATCCATTAGTAAATAAACTTTTGATGGCTATGTGTTTCCAAACCTACTATAAGACGATAGAAAAGAAAGAAAAAAAAAAGCTTTTCTATAATAGAAATGTCCGCTGTGTTTCATCATTTATGTCGATATGTGTTAATAATTAATGCAATATATTTTCAATCAAATGTAATGTAATCAAGTTTTTCTAGAATAATTAAAAATTTGTTTTTTTCTTGATGATTTGTGCTGTATGTCGCAATAATGACTTGAATTTTTACTGTAGAGATTAAATTTCAAATAAAGAAACCTGAATATTTGAATATAAGTGGTAATATTAGACATTCTTCGATTACTATATATCTTTTGTTTTTAAATAGTGACGAGTGGTAGTATATAGGAAAAAGATAAAGAAATCAAATAATTTGAACACTAAATCAGAGACCCTTGTACTTGTAAAAACTTATCGAGCGAATTAACGAGGATTAATTTAACAGAATGTTTATTTATTTTTTAGTCTCTTAAAGGAGTCTGAAGAAATTTGAAAACTTTGAGAAAGAATTAGAATTGTGTGTTCTTGTCAAATATGACTTGAACATTTTTGAAAAACTTTTCGCTTAAGAGTTGTCAACAGGCTTTTCTGAAATCCGTAGTTTTAACGTTGGTGTATCAAAACTTATGCAAAGTAGAAATGAAAAATTATTTCAAACACATTAAATGAAAGAGCAAATATTTCTCTATAGAATGATTAGTTTGCTGCCAGTCATTTGTGAAGAGTGAGTATTCTGGTAAGGTATACCGTGTCAATTTAGACAATTTGTCTCAATTTCTATGAAAAATAGACTTTTCAAAGTGACTTCGAACATTACTGAATGATTGTTCTTAAATTCTTGATTCTTATATCACTTTGTAGAGAATATTCTCGTCGTTAATTCTCCGCGCCAAAAAAAATCTGTAACGTTACGTATGTAGTGAAGGAAACTATGAATGTACAAAAACGTCAATTTTCTTCGTCGAAACCTAATGTTACTGTCTATCAAAGGTCGATTCTCAGCTATGAAATTATAATTTCTAGAGAAATGTTGAGTTTATATTAAGAAACAATACGAAATCTTTGTTCAAACTCAATGTTTTCAAACTTCTGCAGTCTTCTTTAAGAGGTTAAAAAGTGAATGCATATTTTGTCAAATGATCTTTTAATAATCTGTTATGATATTGTCGATGATAGTTAAACAAGTTTGAAGTATGTCTTTCTCCAAATGATGACTATCGTTCGAGAAAAAGAATTATGAAACCCACTAAAATCCTTTTAAATTGATCTATAAGAAGAAGAAAAAAAACTAATTTGCTATAGAAATATTGAACTCATTTGAATGATTCTCATACAATTTACTTTATTGACATGAAAATCACTGCTTTATTTGAGTGTTGTGTTTTTTTAAGTTTCTTTGAAGTGTTTGTTAAGTCGGTCTTGTTCATTCAAAATTATAACTAAAATAATTTCAGTTAGAAGAATGATAAAAGTTTCTCATTTGTTTTGTTTTGTATTAAACTAAATAGAACTTTTCTTTTGAAAAATAAAATAAAAAATTAAACCTTCTGTTACATTAAAATATTTCAGTTCGAAATTTCTGTCCGTCACTTCTTGCCTAGATTCCATACCTATCAAATAATTTGTTTCTTGTTATATTATGCAAATAATATCTGTAATGGAGACATTTCTTTTTATTTTGAAGAATACGAGTCCTAAATGATTTCCTCTAAATTCGAATTGATTTGTTTAAAGTCAAAAAAAAAAAATTACGCTTTAGAGCTTTTAACAACAGGAACAGTTGAAAAGCACAGTTGGAGATGATGCATCATTTTTTTAATTTTGCTTCATAGATGACAAAAGAGGACAGCAATCCTTGTTAAAAAAAATACTTTTTTTTTTCTTCGCGAATAATCGTTTCGGAAAGGAAATGGATCGTATAGAAAACTATGAAGCGTTGACTTTTAAGATATGATCAATTCTTGTCTAGAAATTCTAAAAAGAATCTGTAATAGTATCGAGTAATGTTCTTGTTAAAGAATTTATAGAATTGCAATGGATGAGAAACTAGATATATGTGTCACGCAAAATTGAGATTTAGTCAAATTTTAAATAAAGTTTGTTGAGGATTTAAAAAATAGAAAAACAGAACGATAAAGATAAGAGTAAAGTTTTGATGGCTATTTTATATATACACAATAATAAGTTGACTATAGGTATTTTGTTCAATGAAACGTATATTTTGACAATTTTTTTCTTTTATTTATTGAACACACGAACATTGAATGATTGATGAAATTTCGATACATAACAAATCTGAGTAAATTGTTTTTTTATGGTGTATATTTTCGGTATATATTTTTTTATTTCGCGGACATGGGTACATTGAAGGAATGCTGAAACGTTTTGAAAAAACATTTTTTTTTTCAAGCATTTATTGACACGAGCAGGCGGTTGATGTGAACGATTTTTAAAAAGAATGGTACATTGCATCACATGTGTGTCTCGTAATTATGACATTCATATTAATATTATTAAAACAGAAACGAAACAGATGACAAAGCTTATCAAATAAAAAAGACGATCAGAATCGACTTAAGGGACCTCCTCCTCACTTTCCAAAGTTTCTCGAGAACAGCTAGGCGGAAAATTATGAAACTTTCAAGACAAATAGATCTCTATAAGTACAGCAAAATTTTTCATACACTGAAGATTTCGAGACGGTTTCTTCAGGGAGATATGGAAGTTGCAAAGACCAAGAATGACGAGAAGTTCTTCGCCTCCTGCAAAACTTTATACTTCATTTCTTTTAGCTACAGTTGTTTTATGACAGCTAGGATCAAATGAGCGTACATGGTATTTTTTTCTTCCAAAAACTCGTTCCTATAGCTTAGCACAAGCAAAATACAGAAAGCATCGTAAAAAAACGTTCTCTTTTCAATGGTACTAGTATTTTTAAACGCTGCCAAATTTCGTAGGAAAAACATTTGAAGAAAAAAAAGAACACGCACCCCATTTGATCAAAGTATTCGTTAAAAAAAATTGAGCTCGATTAGACATATCCTGTGGGAGAAAACTTCGTCTGTTTTGTTTAAAAATTGATTTTGAGATAAATGCAAAACAAACTTTCCTATATACATCAGGACTTTTTTCTTCAACTGAAGCAATCGAGAATACTAGGTGTGTTCAGCAATGTTAGAAGTCTATAACCCTTGCTCTGAGGACTTTTCAAGTAAGAAATAATCATTATTAGTAGGGAAATTTTGAATATACAGAATAGATGCAGTGCGACGTTTTGTGCTAGGGATTTAGAAAGTTGGATTCAATAAAACTACTAACTAACAACGAATAGCCCTCATTTGGATGGCATTTGATAGAGAACACATGGAAGCTATTTTAGCAATGAAAAACTAAAAATTAAAAAGTTTTGATTTTAATGAAGCCGAGTCTCGCATTGCTATCGGGATCAGAATTGTAGTGAGAGCTCTTAGTGGCTCTTGGATGGGGACTGAGCCGTGTCCTGATTTGATACCTAGTATTGAGATCGGATCCAGAACTGTTATTGGCTCTAGGACTAGAACTAAAGTCATGTCCCGCATCGATACTACTCAGAGCAAAACAAGAACGAAAGCTCATCGAGACTCTGGGGTTCGGATTGAAGCTGTGTCTTACGTTGATACAGAGATGGGAATCAGAACGAGAACTGGTAGTGGCCCATAACTGAGACTATCTTCTGCATTGATAACGATATCGGAAGCGGCAGGAGATGTGCTAGTGATTCTACCGTCCACATTGAGGTCGGATCCTACATTGAAGACTGAAACCGTGACGAGATCTCATTGGAACTTTCGGATCTAGATTCAAGCCTTATCTTTTCTAGATATCGAGATAGGAGCCAGAATTCGATTTTCTGTTTCGGCCGAAGACGAAACTGCCGTCGAAAATGTTTGTCCTCTGTCAGCTGTAAAGTGGAAGGTTTTGGTTGGGTTCTAATCGCATTATGGTATCTAGCGATAAACTTTTACTAGAGAAACGTGAAGGTTCGTGCGTAGTGTGCGATAATTGTGAAAAAGAAACAAATAAAACCTTGGTATAACACATATTGTTTAATCCTTGGATTCATTGTGCATCACGGTCGATCTAGCTTTTTGAAGACACGTGGACTAGAACAAACAATACGACGGTATCTTTTTCTAGAAGCAAAAAGTGATGTGTAATAATCATGTAATTGATGTGTACGGATGAATGCACAAAATACAAGGTAACTCGCCATGTGTATATAGGCAAAGCAAGGCTTCACTCGCACTGGTAGAACAATGTTGTTACATTGCACTATCAAGTTTCTGGTGAACAAAGAAGATTTCGCACAGATACAACGAATAAAACAATTTTTTTCGAGAGTGTAGTTTCGTCAGAAACCGATTGTGGTAATCATTGTTCAATCGAATTTTCACTCCTATAGTA